TTTTCTTAATTTATTATTTAAGTAAAAATATGTTTCTCGTATAGACCTATTTATTCGTTATATATATGTATATATATATATATAGCCTAGCTTTATTATGTTTTTCTCCGCTCGCAGAAGCGCTGCAGGTGCGTGATGTGATATGATAGGACCATGTGAATCCTCATGTTCTGTTGTTTGCTGCTTTTTGCGCATGTAAAATTAATCCCCGGGAAACAAATGTTAGTATTTTTAAGGGTCGCAGACACGTATCCTTTCTAATTTAATTCACTTCTAATTTAAAATAATCTTGTCGGTTAACGGTTAATAATCGGTTAACGAGCGTCGGTTAGGAAAAATAACCGAAATGAACATCCCTAGTTTACAGTATCGATCAACACGTTTAAAAAAGACTGTAGATGATCATGTACACAAACACAGAGAGATCAGTTTACTTACGTTTGCAAAAATGTTCTTCATTTTTTAGGTGCTCATCAAATTTGTGAAGAGGCACTGGCCTGGGAAAACATCGGAGTTGGTAAGTTGACAAGACTTTATTCTTCATGAAATTCTCTATTAAGAGTTGTTTTATTAAGTTCTGTATGTAGACAGTATGAGGTATAACTGAATTAGACAATCAAAGCCCAGAATCATCATTTATAAAGTACATGTAAAGTTCATCGCCATCATCTTTAATTTCCTTCACTGTGCATCGCAGCGTGCATCTGTGTATTTTGAAACATTTCTAGCATCAAGATGTACACACAAATCCACAGACAGGTGGACTCTACTGCGGGCCAATCATAGCACGTTCTCACTACAACCAATCAGGTGTTGCTTTACAGGCGGGCGGTCCCTTCCTGAAATAACTTTGCTCATTTACACTAGCTCAGGTAGGAATTATAAGATCCATAAGAAGTGGTACAGTAAAAGATACTTAACATTTAGATTTCGTTAGCCACATTATTATGTTTTAATCGCCTTTGAAGATATTAGAGAAATAGCGCTTTGCGTCTCTTTATGGGAACACTGGATCGAAAGCGTCACATAATTCAAGACCGAACAGACTAATAAATAACTCGATTCATTTAATAGATTAAATTACTGTCCCACAACAGCATTTCCCAGTTCTTCAGTCAAGCAGATTTAAGGATGGATATGAGCAACTCTGTGGATCTAAAACTCTATATTAAGCATTATAAGTAGAGTGTAACGCCACTAATTACAACTATTTCAAACATTAATGAAATGTAATACATAATGATTCCCACTTTGTAGAGACGATATACTTGGTATATTAAGATGATACAGGTTTTCGTTTGCATTATCCACAAGCGATGAGGCTTGTACTGTAACGTCACTGATAGTCGCTTGGGCTCGTATTTGGTATTATACATGATGTTTTGTCCTAGATGGGGTCCTTCAGAAGTAGAACGGGTGATCTGTTCAGTCCAGTGTAGACAGTATCACTGATTATAATGTGTTGCGCCGCTCGTGTCAGCTGTAGAGAGGCTGTTATCGCTCAGGATCTGTATACAGTCTTGAGTTTATCCTGATACACTGGTCTCAATGGGAATATAATGAAGTAGGGGTGTGCGATATGGGAAAAATTTGGTATTCTTCATATTCTGTGTGGTGATCAGTTCACAGCAGTGATAGAAATTAATCTTTCCAATAAGTTTAAATGGATTTTTACCTTTATGGGCATTTGTACCTTTTATAAAGCCATTTTTTTCCTAAAAGTGTGCATCATCTTTTTAATCAGTCAGTTAGAATAATAAGACATTTTGGCTATTACCAACCAAATTAAATCAGTATCAACAAAATTAATCTTGGCAATGCAGAGGAAACACAGAAGCTGCATCTGAAGTTGCATGTAGATGTTTTTACACACTTTAATGCAGGACCCAAATGTTTTAACCTGTAGTTACAAATGCATAAATGATGTTTTGATATATTAAACATAAAATGTTGACTGCTGATATTTAAAATGAATTAAAAAAATTAAAAGATACTTTAAATGGGAAATTGAAACTGCCATTAGGTGGCAGCAAGTCACAGTCAAGTGAGTGATTGCGATTGAAACGATTCGTTCAAACGAGTGATTCATTCAGGAACGAAGCAGCGTCATGTTGCTCAGAGACGCAAAACAGTGCTGTGGCTTTGTTTGAAATTATTTTTGTTTTGTCTAAAATCGCACATCGTTAAAACAACAAATAGGATATTATCACAGAAGATATATATATCGCACACCCCTATAAAGAAGCCACATAAAAGAAGTTTTAAGCACACAAACAGCACTTAAGCTCAATTTGAAGGAAGAGCTCGTAGAATGTTGTGAATGAATATGAATATGAATCTGAATCGAAATGTTCCCATCCAGACTGTCGAGCAAAATGTGACGGGCTGTAGCGAGAACATGCTACGATTGGTCAAGGCAATGTTGCTGTTATCTGATTGGCTTGAGTTGACAGTGGGTGGAGTCCACCTCAAGGTTATTATAATTCTGCATTTTTAAATTTGGTAATATTATTTTAACATTTGCTATAAATGCATAAAATAGAGTTCAACAGAATTAACAGACAATGCAGCGCAGACCAAAGCTAGACATTTTAATGTAAGCTCCATGACACAAATGTAGCGACACAAACTTATAGCATGTTTAGATAGATTAGATGGAGAATAGTAAAAGTAAAATATTAAATGTGTTTAATCAAAATGAACACAGACGACTCCTGAGACGAGCTTATTTGCAGGAGTTCACATAAATGTATCCATGTGTATTTATATAGGGTTATATCCATTTATTAGTAATATAAATTGATATTAATATACATTAATATGAATGGTCATATTTGACAGTTTTAGACTGAATGGTGAATGTCATTTGGTAATAATACAGCAATATTGTACTGTAATTGAATATTAGATGTTTTAATATTTTATCTTAATCATAATATTGTAACTGTCGTCTCT